AGATTCTATTAAATTCAAAGAGTGCTCTAACAATTGGATCGTTATTATGGTCATTGGCTTTAATTACATGTAAATAGAAGCGTAAACTTATATGGCAGAGTTTTGTTTTCTCTCAGCTTTGCTCAGAGAGGACTACTCTAATTACTTTATTTTCTCTAATTTTATCCATTTTTAAAACCTAAAAAGCGGCAACATCATTTTCAAGCTACGATATACTTTTTTGCTTGACATAAAATATTTGAAATTTATGATATTTTATAATTACATTTACACAAATTTTTTTCCAACTATACATATGTATATGTATTTCCTTTAAATTTCATTTATTTAAAGCAAATCTAAACAAGTTTAGCTGAAAATAGAAAATATAGAAATATTTTTAGAATGGAATTTCTCTATTATCGCCCAGCTTCAAGTTCATTAACAAACAAGCAACAGTGTAAGATTAATCGGAACGCCTTGCATTAGATTGTCGTGGGCGTATAATTATGTAAAATTGCATGTTTCTTATGATAAAATGCAAATTATATGATTTCCTACAATCAATATCAATACACAAAGTAAAAAAAAAAAAACACAGAGAAACAACGATTAAAAGCGAATTAATAAAGCAAAAAATAAATAATTATTGAAATGCTTGTTGTAAAAAGCTCTGTAATTCATGATAATATTTTCGAGATAAAAAACATGCAAGCGTTTAGATGTCATTCACGCGAACAAGTGGCAAATTTTCTGTAGAAATCAACAAACAAATTGAAATATTACTCATACGCCTAGGCGTACTTAGTATGTGGATGGGCTAGAAGCATTGTTTTAATGCAAAATAAGATTAAAGTGTTAATATTATGTTTAGTTAAGAAGCAAGTTGATAGATTACAATTAAATAAAAAGTACAATATTATATGTAATATTTCGCTTAAAGTCTATAATTTAAAGTTAATGCTTAAAACAAATAATTAGGTGCTCTTGCAAAGGACGAAAATAAACCTTTTGAGTAGAAATTTTTCCTTTCGCCGCTTATATCACATGTTTCTAGATTCTACAGATTCGTTAAAGAATAAATTGTAAAACGCGAAAAATATGTTCATTGGAAAAATTATTATTGAGAGAGTGGGCATATTTTGAACCTTAGAGGTTTTTAATAAGCCTAAGATTAGAAGATTCTTTTAATTTTCTGGTGGTTAGGCAGGCTATGAAATTGAATAACAAGGTCAGTTTTATCTTAGCTCTATATTTAGAATGTCTCTAGTATATTATAAAACACCATAGTACTCTTCCTACTTATTTCTGTTATATCTTTTTTTTTTAATAAAATTACTTATGAGCTTTTATTAAAAAAAAAAAAATATTTTATTCCATATTTTATTATTATATATATTTATATATACACCTATATTATATTTGTCACAATGCATCGGCTTTCCTATAATTTATACTATGCCGCCTCCGAACGGCTAATAGATTTTATATGAGGAGCATTATTACTTCATGTCAGAAATATACTCCGAGGGATTGACATTCCCTACCGAGGGGCGAACGCAAAAGTTAGCTTAATTATTTATTTATAATTATTTTCTATAACTTTTTGGATGTTAGCATCTCACCAGGATTTGAACCAGAATGGCAGTACCCAATGCAAACCACTTGGCAGTCGTGGTAATTTAATTTTATCTTTTTAATTTTATTTAATTTAATTTAACCTTAAGTCAATACGTTTTATTTATTTTACTTCATTCAGTCTGCTTTATTAAATTTAGTAACATAACGTGCATGCTATACTATAATTTAATTACTTCTTTATCATTTTACATTAATTTTTTTTTATTTGAACTTATTTGCTTCGTTTTACTTACTTTATATATTTTCCATTTTTTTAAGTTTACTTAATTTTATCTATTTATTTTGTTTTATTTTATTTTTATTTCATTTAATTATTTTTTTTAGTTTTATATTACTTTATTTTAATTTTTTTCGCAACCTCGTATTTTTTATTTGTCTTCTTTTATTAATTTAATATCTAATTAATCCTTTAGTTTTTTATGTTTTTGTTTTATTTAATTTAACTTAATATATTTATTTTGCTTCAGTTTATTCTATTTTAATCCTTTTAAATTTGATTTAATTTGTCAATTTTTTATTTAATTTAATTGAACAAATTTATTTTTATTACATTTTTTTTATAATATTGTTCTATAGTTTTATTTTACTATACTTAATTTAATTTAATTGAGTTCATTTTTTATTTTTAAATTTAATTTCAATCCATTTATTTAATTTAAATTAATTTATTCATTTATGATTTCTTTATTTTAATCTAATTTCATATTTATCTCATACTATTTTATTATTCAAATTTATTTTATATTTAGTTTAATTTTTATTATTTAATTTTTAAAAATTGTTTTATTAAAGTGTTGTTTATTTTTTATTTCTTTTGTTTTTATTTTTTTTTACTTTATTTTAATTTTTATTTTATTTTATGTAAGTTTATTGTATATTATGTTATTTGCTTTTATATTAGTTTGTCAGATTTCCATACCGATTTATTTTATTCCTATTTATTTGTTTAATTTATATTCTTTTACTCTTTCATTTATATTAGTTTAATTTGGCTTTTTTTTAATTCGTTTAAATTCCTTGTATTTTATTTTATTTATTATTTTATATAAATATATATATTTAATTTAATTGTTAAATATTTTATTTTGCTTAAATTCAATATAACTTTCATTTTACTTTAAAGTAACTTATGTTAAGTTTTTTATTTTATTTATTTTAGATTAACAATTCTAGTTTTTTATATAAGTAATTAATTTTATATGTTTTCTATTTATTTTATTTTGTATATTTATTATGACTGAAGAAAGACATTTTTCATTTGCTTTCAATATTTATGCATTCATTCGATCTCACTTATATCCATATGTACATACTCGTACATATTTATTTATATCTGAGTTTTGCTCTACTTTATACGCCATGCAAATCTAGTTCTCTCAAGCTGGCTTCTTTCAGCTGACGTACATGTGTATACATATACGGTTACATACATATCAACAAAAGTTAAACGTCGATATTTAATAGCCGACCACCGATCATTATAGTAACATACAAACGAGTATTTACACACACATATGTATATATCTATACGTTGTATACTACGTAAATAATATAAAATGTTCTAAAAGGGGGTACCGATCGACTTAAAGCCACAAAAAACAAGTTGAAAGCAGCAAATAACTCGACACTCACGCTTTTGAGAAGATTACTATATTATATTTATTATTAAATACATATAGAGTATATATGTGTGTTTGTGTATGCATGAATTAAGCTTGATTAAAAAATAATCAAAAAGTGTGAAGAAAAACTTAAAAAAAAAGATTAAAAATTAAAAAACAAGAACAAAGAACACGACAATGGTGTAATTAATAAATGGCAAGCCATGAATGTAAGTATAAAATACAAAACAACAAAAAAAAAAAATGAAATGTTAATATCAGAAACGATGGTAATAAATATTATGTACTAAAATAAACACAAGGAAAAATTATTAATTTTTCTTGTTCCCAATATTCAACATACGAAACATTCGCTTGCAAAGAGAGTCGAACATGGATGCTTGCGAGGGAGATTATTTATGTACTGGGTATAAAATAAATATCATTTGGCGAGTGGCGACCGTTATTAAAGAAAATATATAGATTTTTCAAATAAATTTTTTCTAATTTTAGCCTTTGTTTGAGACAGCGTTCGAACCCATTAGGCCAATATGACAGTTGTGAGGCAGAAGTCAGATGGTATAAACCCTCACTGATTCAGTTGAAAAAGATAATGTCATTCAATCTGCAGCTCCATTATTGGCTTTCGGGGTTTACATCCATAAAACCCCTTTGGCTTCTACTGCATCTCCGATCGCTGGACTCTAGCATACCCCTAATCTAACCCTGTGTTTCATGAGATCTTTACATAAGCCCGCTGACCGATAACAAAAACTTAAAAGCAACTACCACGAATTTTTCCTCAGTGTATGAAGGGAAAATGATTTTAATAAAATCGTCAATAATAGCACGCTGAACTTGTTGCTGTTGTCAACTTGCTGCTGCCGGCTGATAATGCGTTGCTGTCAACGCAGTAGCTACTCACTGTTGACGTCCAACTTTTTCTGTTTAATATTTGACTGCATCATCTGTTGTTGACGCGCCGCCGTTGCTTCTGGCTGTCTGCTGTTGTTGCTGATGTTGCCTTACTAGTTGCTATGAGCTCTATATCTACAAACAGCCACCACCAATCAGCAGCAGCAGCTGCAGCAGCAGTAGCAGCAGCGGCGGCGCGTAAACATCGCCACGCTGTCGTTGTTAAACAAATGAGCTGCGACGCTGAACGGTCGGCTTGCGGCTTGCGGCTTTGGCGTGTTGGTCTCATTGCTTTTTAGCTGGCTTAGCAGCTGGAACCAAATACCAAAACAACGTTGAGCGCAACCGAGCAACGGCGTCAAGTCAACGTTGCGCTGGTCGACTGTCGAACTGGGGCTGGACCGAGTTTAGTAGCAAAACAAAGCACGAAGTGTGTATAGTGTATTTTTATTGTATATTGTATTGAGAGACCGTTGAGCGCTCGAGTCAAGCTTAAGACGTGGAAATCAAGAAAAAAAAAACATATAAAAGATAAACGTAAAATAGTAAATATTTAAACGAAGCAAAATCGATAAGAAAAAATCATATAAAAACAACGAAATTACCAACAACAATTAAAAGTGGTACTGCGAAAAAGACGAATAAGTATGTGTATGTGTAAGTCCAGCGATTTGATATTGCCAAAGTAGCGATCAATTGATCAAGTAAGCGTTCGATACTAAACGATACGGACTCGTAAGGCCTGAACCTTAGCTCGTTGTATAGAAAGTATGGCTGAATAGTTGATATCGCGCGACAAGTGAGATAAAAATTATGAACGCGGAAGATTTTTAGTGGAAGTTCAAGTAGAAAAGAAATAATAGGAATATATACATACCTACATGAAAAAGTTTTCAACTGAATTGCATTAAAAAGTGAGTGTACTACAATTTATAAGATAAATAAGAAATAAAAAAATATATTGAAAATGATAAATTAAAAAAGTTAACTTAAAAAATATGTACGAAATGTATAAAGCAAAAGAAAAAAATTAAATCAAATAATTAAAAATAAGTAAATTAACATAATGACATACAAATTTGATAAAAAAAAATATTAAAAATACTAAAAACTGAATCTAAAATCAACTCGAAAAAATTGTTCAACTTTGCAAAATTTATATATTTCAAATTTTTGCAAGCTTGTTTATGTGAAGCAAAATTTGTTTGTAGCAATTTTTGGAACCAAAAAAAGTTATTTCAAAAAGGATTTTTATATTTACTAATTTTCATAAATACTCGAAAAAATTCGATAAAAACACAAAAAAACGGCGTTTCCAGTTTTTCATTATTATTATTTTTTTTTTTAAATTTCCAAAATTCCTGTTCTTCATTTAATTATAATTTTTGATTTAAACAAACTACGAAATTGCGCAACAATTCAAAATTTCTCATTTTTCACCAAGAAAGAATGTGTCAAAAATAATATATTTAGCATTTCTAACAACCAAAAAATATTAGATCACCGAAAAGGTTAAAGCGCAGAAGAGAAACAAAATATTTATGCAAAATTGTGCTCACATCTTTTGCTAAAATGCGCAACTAAAGCATAATACAATAATTAAATTAAGGTATTAATTTAAAAAAAAGTTGTTTTTCCGCTTTGTTTATTTGCTTGGCAAGAAGCGAGTTAAGATCAGCGACGATCGTGCGCAAGTGTCATATAAATATGTAAATATGCATATGTATATGTGTGTATGTGTGATATATAGTGCTCGAGTATGTGTGTGTAAATATTTCTTAAAATGTATGCGTGTGCCGTTGAACGGCAAGGCAAACCGATCAAAGCAACTTGTGGAACAGAATACAAAAACAAAAAAAGCTTCAAGCAGCTCGAAAATACACATATACAATACACATGTATGTACATATACAAGAAATCAAAATTGAAGTCTTGAAGAAAAAGCTTCGCCAAAAACTTTTTTTTTTTTTAAGAAAACTAAACATGCGGACCAACAAACCAACTGAGAAATCGCAAGCAGCAAAAAAAAAAAAATGAAAAAAAATGAGAAAAAAAAAATGAAAAAAAAAATGAAAAAAATGAAAAAAAAATACTGAATTGCCAATACAAACTCGCACAAATCAAAACAACTTTAAATAATAAAAATATTGAAAACAAGTGCAACAACAAAAGAAACGCAATTCACTTTTTTTCTAATAAACAAAAACAATAACAATAATAATAAGCAATAAATGTCTCGAATGAATTTATACTGACTTTCTGTTTCAACTATTCTCTTCTGTTCTTTTTGCTTTTTTACGTCATTTTCAAATTATCGTCCTGTGTAGGATAAACGAAACACAATCGTTTGTTCCAGGCATTCCTTTTTGAGAATCTCGCTAATAATTTTTCATTCTAACATGTTTATATGTTTGTGTATGTGTCCGAAAGTCACGTAAATAATGAAATGAAATGCTGTGTGCGTGAGACCAGAGATCGTAGATTAAAAATACTTAGTTTTCGAATTTTTAAGAATTTACTGATTTATTCAATTATTTTAAAATATCGATCTGTACGTCTTAGCTCTTTATCCAATGTATGTATGTAGTTTAAATAAATATAATATTTAACTTTTTCTTTCCTCACACATACTGGATAAAGTCTGACTTTCAAGAAAGCAAAACGAATACTAAATAATGTGCATAAGATAAAAAAGTGTGTCTTACTTTCTTCCTTGCTTCCACGATATGTGTCAGTAATTTCGTCTCTTCGTCGTTTCTTCGCTTCTTCGATCGCTGACAAGTGGAGTGGAAATACCAACCGAAGTCAGGTCTTTCTCCATCTGATAGTTCTAATGGAATCAACGTATTTTTCTTGCTCAGCTTTTTTCTCTTTTCATCCCACAGTAGGTGATGAAGCTTGAGCTTTATTCTCAAGAGAAGACTTTACGTTTCAGTCCAAATGTGAGGCAAGTGTGATTACACATTGGATTTCAAGACTGATATTGTTAATTTTATTCATAATGGCTTCTTAATACACGAAATTATTTACTTTATTATTTATCACTTTAAAGTTATGACTGTTAACAATGACGTGGCAGCGAATACGTGTTTGATCAAAGGAAACGTGGCCCATGAGACCGATCATATAATACTTATAATACTGTTCTAAGTTCCTTTGAATATTGGAACTTCTTAACTTAGATTTGTAGTAAGTCAGAATCGTCGCTCAGTTCTGAATGGCTCGGAGACGTTCTTTGAATTTTGACAGAACTGCTAGTGTTGCCTAATGTCGGTTTAAACTACTAATGATAGCTTAAACTACTGTGTGGATACCTAATTTGAACAGATCAACATTAAGGCTTCATGCTAATAAAGGCTGCTAATAAAATTAACGAAAAAGTAATTTAATTTGACTCTTTCTCAAACATCCTTTCCAAGATTTGACACATGACAAAGAGTTGAAAGCCATATTGATAAGTTAAAATTAAATCGTTAAAGATAGTATTAAACTTTTCACATAATAAAATAGATATAGACGAGGTTTCTGCCACGATTATAAGCGCAGATTTTTAGGTCTCTCTCTTTACTTTGCTTTCAATCGTCGTGCGAAGATATGTCCCGCGAAGTTTTGCCCAGAATTTGAAGCATTCGCTTGGTCAGTGCCTTGTTGCCATGCTTGAATAGCTTAGCCAGTAAGCAATCAACTCCCGCGGTTTTGGTATTCTTTAAGCGGGCAAATGGTCGAACTTCATGCAACTTCTACTGCATCACCATCAGCGTTCATCATTACCGAGTGTTGTATTCCAATGCCATTCAACACGCCGCAGAAGTGTTCCATTCATAAGCATCAGCCCCCAGATTACTTCCTTGGGTTTTAAATAAGTTCCGGTCTTGCAACCGTCTAAAAGTCGCATCATTTTTCATAGAATTTTTGGGCTTTATTCCTGGCGGCCAGCTTCTCAAGCTCTTTATAGTGATGACGTGATGAGCTTCCTTCTTCAACAATATGTGTATCAATCGATCGAACGTGCCGAGGCATGGCTCATCGCCCGAGCTCTTGTTTTGATCTTGTTGAAAACTAATAATTAAGCTGGCAACTGTACGGAGGGAGCTTAAAAGGCTTAAATCCGAAATGCCCATATACATACCTATGTAAAGGCTAGCTCCAGCTTTTTGACGTCTAACCAACTACGTGTTTTTTTATGACAGTTTTTGGCTGCAAAGAGGCAGCTGCGTATCTTCACTGTGACATGATAGTGTTCTGAGTCGGTTTTCGATTCTCTCCAAGTCGAAGTCGATCAGCCATTGCCGGAGGAATCTTGCAGAACTCGGCGACGGAGTCTCTCCCTCACCATAAAACTAATTTCAAATCGCTCTCGCATTGAACGGCATTAATATCAGGCTAAAGTTTACAAGGAGCATCAGTTAGCTAAATACCAGCTGCTTCACAATTTCAGGGGCACGTTCTCAAATTGGGAACCTAAAACCCCTTACAGGGGTCTTTATTAAAAGAAGGATGTCTTTGGCGCACATTTTTTATGTGCGGGATCTGCTTGACTTCTCAGAGTGTATTTGGTCTGAGAGCGGAAGTCACCGCATCCTTCGTTTTCATATTGTCATTTAATTTTTAAATTGTTATTATTTCTTATTAAATGCATTATTTGCTATTTTTTCTAACTTTTTCACTTGAAATTTTTGTCCACTATTTATTTTAATTTTTTTTTAAATACTTTTTTCACCTCACTTTAACACCTTTCTGACGGCATTCCCCAGCGCATTGGTAAGCAAACCTCTTTTTACACTTATTACAACTGTTGTTGCTGTTGTTGTTTATTGTGTTGCTGCAGCAAGTTATGCTCGTAATTAAAATATTGCACTTGTTTTTCCGATCCTCAATCATCGCAACAAGCAAAAAAAAAAACAATACAAAAAACAAACCGTGAGTGCAGCACCCAATAGCACCCAGTTGTGGCGACATTGTCAGAGTGTTGCAACAAACCTGGAAAAATGCTGACAGCAAATACCAGAGCCGTTTGTTGCTGCTGCTGCTGTTGCTCCGGGTGCAACATAGTAGTATTGAGATGCTTGGTGAGGTGCAACAGCATTTGGTTGGTTGTTGTGGTAAAAAATCAAAAACTCGTTCATCGGAATTTTCTAATAAACGACAGACGGCCGGCGACCACGTCGCTTGGTTCGCAGCAACATTGTCGACTAGCGATCGAGAGTATTGAGGAGGTGATCACACTAATAAGTTGTTGCTGTTTGAGTTATCGGTTTTTTAGTTTAATTTCTTTTTTAAGCTTTGTTTTTGCTTCACAGCACCAAAGTGTCAGTTAGAGGTGAACGTGCGGCTGCCAGAGCAACCAAGCACAGAGCCAGCCACACTGCCCAGTCAGTCAGTCAGCCAGCCAAACAACCAGCCAGCTGTGGTAGTGGCGGCGAGTAGTGCGTGGCACATTCCAAGGCACGCAATAATTTTAATAAGCACCTGGTTGTTGTTATTGCAATTGCTGTTGGGCTGTTGTTGCTAAGTCGTTCATGCAAAACCTGCAATCACATAATTCTTAAAACTCTGTATTTGTTTTTATTTTTGTTTTTGGTTTATTTTTATACAATCATTTTGTTGCTTTTCGAGTAGTGGAAATTTTTTTACTCAAAATCAGAGCGCAAATGTTGTTCAAGGCCATAGGAGATACCAAGGAAAATGCAAAAATTGAGCGCTGCTGATGAATAAATTGGTGAAGGCAGTGGAGAAGAATAAATAAAAGTGCAAAAAACAAACTGCATTCCTATTGAAGTGTGTGCGTATGTTTATAAGTTTCTCTTTAAAAAAGAAGTTCACACTTACACTACATATACTCAGCTAAAGTTCTTAGAATGATCTTAAAATGTTAAAAGGTCCGCTTTACGGGTCAGGGGTCAACATGAGAGCTTCAAAGGCTGTCAACCCTTATTTCATATATAACAAAGTGTACGTGTTGGTGTTACCTTACAGCTGTAACTATATCATACAGTTGATCTATAAGAATTTGGTCTCAATTATGATAAGGGAGCGTGGCGCCTCCCATATTAACTTAACCTATTTCGGTTGAAATTGCTGTCGACAAGACGAGAGATTCTTCTTATTCATTGGCGTTGGCACCGCGCGCCATTCATCCCTTATTTTCTCTGTTTGTCTTCAGTTAGAAGTACCAAAAGAAACCAGGGCGCCCGCCACCAAATGCATTTAACGGAGTGGAGGTCTACTCTTCCTCTGCTTCCAGCTGCCGGCTTTAGTCCTTCACACAATACCAGGAAATAGACTAATTAAGTTGATGTACATGAGTAACAATTTTTCTTCCGGGAAGTGGATCTGATACCGTTCTATAAAAAACTTTATTTTGGTTTGATTTCCGCTTATAGCCGAGCTCCTAACAGCGTGTCATTCATTTCTTATTATCGCTTTTTGACGTCATACCAAGCACAACCAGGCTCTTTTCTACCTGGTGCTTCCAACGGAGACGAGGTTTCCACTTTCTCAGCTTCCACCGGCGGGTACAGCGTTGAATTGGATTATTCTAATCCATCCAGATCACAAAACCTAGTCAGCGTAATCGCTGCATCTTGATTCGTTGAACTATGTCAATATCGCAATTACAGATTATAACAAATCATTCGCAATACCTTTTGTTGTCATCGTCCATGCTTCCGTATCGCAAGAGTGTATCTGTGTTAGATTTCAAGGCTGACATTGTTGTTGTTCTTAATGGCTTTTCCAAGATAGATGCGATTATATACGACTTCAACGTAATGACTGTCAGCCGTGACATGGGATCCAAGAGGGAGTCACGGTACGGTTGTTTAGGTCAATGATATTGATATCATCGACGTGCACCAGCAGCTGTATGACCTTATAGAAGATTATATTATACAATACTCTCTCTACTCAGCTCTGCATCCCATATTAATTCCTTAAGCAAAAAACTAGCGAAGTCACATCAAGTTTATTTGGTAACGAATGGTTCAAAGGGTACCTTTTCCATCCGGGCTCATCCAAATTCAGTCATAGTGGCGAAGAGGCAGCTCTTTTGTGGCAAAAAAAGTGGAGTGTGTCGACCATCTATTAATGGTGTTTTTTTTTCAATATTTGGCGCAGGTGAATAGCCGGCGAACATCGGACTTGAAACAAGCGGCTCGCAATGTAATTATGTAAAAAATTAAACCTTCTTGCTTGGTGAGGGTGTGCGCTAAGTTTGGCACCCGACACATTGAAATCAGCTTCAATGAAAAGTATTTATAACAAAATGTTAAAAATCAGTAAATCTGTAAGTCAGTTTCTCATATACTGTATCGTGACGCTACAATTCACCTCGCTAATGCTGAGAGAGTCTTGATTGTGAGTAGAAAAGTCTACCCTCAGGACTATCTAGAGCAGAATGAGTAGGAAGTTTATAATAGAATAAGTATATCTTTGAAAAAAAGACTTGCAAGCGAGGGCACACTCAGACGGTATAATAATAATAATAAAAAAAAAACAAATAATGTTTTATTGTTTAAGTCTTTATTAGCATTCGCTGGTAGACGGCAAGTCAGTGCAAGGTTTTAATTAGTTAGTTGTCGCCAGCCACCGAGTCAGACGAAAGAAACGAACGCAAGAAGTGTGATAAATATTAACAACGCTATAATCAAAAGCAAAAATAAATAATTAAAATAAAGCAGAGGAATTTTAAGAAATAAGATGAGAGCGAGAACAGAGATTTAAAGCAAGCTTGAGGTGAGCAGGCGGCTCCCCATATTAAACGCTCGATTGAGTAAAATCAAATAAACTGAAGCGCGCTCTACATTTCAACTCAGCGGCGTGTTGAGCGACGCGTGCTATGGCTGATAACCGAAATTTGCGCTATACTAATTTGGGGTCAGCGCGTGTCTGTGCGTTTAGCTGAAGAGCGAAGATCTTCTTCAAACATCTTTCTTTTATTTTGCATTAATTTTTTTTATTGAGTACTGTGTTGTGCAATACGTATTATAACGGTTATATTTAGTCTGCGGCTTAAAGAAAATGTCTCAAGATCATAGCTTTGGCGTCCCGCTCTTTACATCCCGTTGACGCTTAGGACGAGTAAGGTGCGGCGCCTCAAAGCGCATATCGTTTTCTGATATTTTGCGGTTTTTCCGTTACACACACAAACATGAGCATTCACAAGCGTCGCGTATAGAGCACGTTAACTACTCGTGTACGCGTTGACACAACCATGTTTGTAGGGAAACCAACGAGTGGTTGGGTTGCACGCTGATGAAGCGACATCTGGCTGTCACATGTCTAGCACTTAAACAGCGCACAAAGTCTAAGCTTAAGCGCTCGCATTCCCGTTCGCGATCGCTCACGCGCCTGGCCTTTGTTGCAGCTTTAAATACAACGCATCGTTTGTAGTTTATGGCTAAGCAACGTCGTCGTCGTCATATAACCGCCACCATCGACTGCTCTGAATTTATGTTTGTCTGCTCGATAGCTCATTCGTTCGTGCTCTTCTTGTGTTCTACACGCGATCTTTGCTCGATCTGTCAGCGTTGAGTTCGTACAAGCGCCACTAAGCGCCGCTCTACAGCTATAGCGTACTTACAAGCTTACTAAGTGACAAGCTATGCAGCCTCGTTTAGTCCACTCGCTCAGACATACAAAGCGAGAGTATCATGTTCGACTATAACAATCCTCAACGACAGTTTAATCACGATTTTAAACGTTTCGTTGCGTGTTTGCGTTGAAAAATTTCATTATTTACGATACAACTAATTTAAATAAATAATATAAATAATAAAGTAATTAAGAAGTATTAATATCATAAAAAAAATAAAATGAATTTCATTTCATGTTTCATGCTTTTTTTAAAAAAGGGTTGAGAATTTTTTAAATGGGAACATGTTTATTTTTGGATCTTATTTTTTTCAATTAATTTTTAAAATTTTCTTTTACTTTACTTTTTCCGCACTTTTATGTAATTTTCTTTTCTTTTATTTCTTAAATATTTTTTTCTTTTCACTTTTCTTTATCAGCACAACGCAACGTTATTACTAACAAAGTTGTTGTAGTTGTTGTACGATCATTAGTTTGTAGCGTGTTGAGTATTTGCAATTATTTACTTGTAATTGATATGTAATCATTCGTCAACATTGCACAAAATAAGGAAATACAAGATTTTCCAATGCCCATTACAGACTGATTTCCAGTTTTTTTTATTTTTTATCTTTATTTTTATTCAATTTTGTATATAGTGAGCTTTTTTTTTAACAAATGTCTACAAATTCACATGACCATTTTGAGAAAGCAAATTTGACCAAATTTGCCAGACCAAAATAAGAAAACAACTGAAGAAAACTGTAATTATGTGTTTTTTATTAAAAATTTTCCGACAAATTACATAAATGCCAGCATAATTGTGAAGTATTTAATGAAAAATAGTTTAAAGGTGTTGTGTGAAATGAAACGAAAATAAAAGAAAACAAGTACAAATATGGAAATGCTAAATAGAAAACAAAAAGAAAATAAGTATAAAATCAAAATAAATGAAACATAACATGGAACTAAATAAAAATTTAATTACATTCAAATTATTATAAATTAAATGAAAAATAAAATAATAAAAAAGTAAAGTAAAAAAACTTAATAAAATAATAAAGTAATAAATTATAAAAATAAGAGAATATAAAATAAAATATATTAAAAAAAATTAAATATAAAAAAAGTAAAATTATATAAAAAAAAAATTAAAAAAAATAAAATAAAATAACATAAAATAAAATAAAATAAAATAAAATAAAATAAAATAAAATAAAATAAAATAAAATAAAATAAAATAAAATAAATTAAAATAAAATAAAATAAAATACAACATATAATAGAATTAAATTAAATAAAATAATAGTAAATGAAATGAAATGAAATAAAACAAACAATTAAGTAATATAAAGTATAACAAAAAAATAATTATAATAGAATAAATACAAAATGATAAATGGCGGTAAAAAATGAAATAAAGTACAAAGAGGAAAAAATTAAATATGGAATGAAATGAGGAAAGACGAAATAGAATGAAATGCAACAAAAAATTATACGTAATAAAATTAATTAACATAAAATAAAAAATCCGAAATCATATAAAAGGAAATATAATCAAATAAAATGGAATAGAAGAAAACTGAGTAATAAAATAAATATCTAAAAAGTAGCATAAATAATTCAAAGTAAAATAAAAATAAAAAAATTAAATCCGTTAAATTAATTGAAATAAATGTAAGAATAAGAATTAAGATAGTATTTGAATCGAAAAATGCTACAAAAATTATTAAAATTATTATTATTAAATATTATTTTTTGTATTCTTTTCAGTTGATTCGCAGCGCAAAAAAAATGAACAGCAAATCGAATTATTTAAAGAAGCTGAGTTAGTCAAAGTTGAATCCTACAGTAAACCATAACGAATTATGCCGATAAAAATATATAAAAACATACAAAGTGCAATAAGTGTTTAAGCAACCTAAACTTTATCGAATGAATTTACAATCTAGAATGTGATAATGGTTGTGATTTTCATTACAGCGCATATTAAAAAAGTGTTGAAGCTGCAGCCGAAAGATTTGTGGATTTTAACTAAATTATAAGTGGTGAGTTGAAAAATGTTGGCTAAAAATATTAAGTATTCCAGCATTCATATTGTATTGCCACAGTAGTTGTCTAATTGTAGGCAACGTTTTCTAAAAATTTTGTGACTGCACATAAAACGTTGCCTACGTTTGTAGAGATTAAATAGACAACTCCTAAACGGAAATTCCAAGCGAACTACTTTAATAGGAATTAAAACGTTTTACACAATGTGGTACAATGAATAAATATCTCTAATTATTTACTCCTAAACAAACACTTACAACAACTTAGAACACTCATTTAATGTGACAATTAATTTTCAACACCAACACCTCAACTTAATGCAATTATTTCCAAACAATTAAGCTTTTTAATTGTCAACCATTTTATGCCTTTCGCACCGTAACGAGCATGTAAGGGGTAAAAAACTAACTAAAAAGACCAACGAACTAAAATATGGGTGCCGCCAAGCAAACCGATGTTAAAAAGCAGCAGAAAAAAATTTAAAGAATTAGACATTCAAATGGAAAAATTAATGTAATCTCTTTTGCGGTTGAATATTTATGAGGGACCCGGTTCAGAGCAACAAGTGTGTGCATCATGTGCACCAACAAAAAGGGTGGCCGGCACATGGCACTCGATAGTGCCGAGACAAGTCGTGTCGTGTGCTTTTATGATAATTTCGCCGCGACTATGGCATACGTTGCTGCTTCTGGGATAAGTGTGAATTTCTCTATTGAACTATTTGCTTTGTTTTTTTTTTTGCCCGCTCGCTCTGCTTCTTCACCGGCTAGTTTATGGGGTAGTGTAATAAATTGTTAGATTTATTTCACTATTAATCTAATTGAATAATTATTATTTTTTTATTGCTTTCGAATTAAGCGGAGTTAACGCCGTGGCGGTTGGGAGGGCAACGCTAGGCATATTGCCTGACTTATAATCGCTGGAATTTCTATTGACATTTACGAGTGCATAATGCGCCAATTTATTTACTTACCCACAAGTGTTTGGCTTTTAATAGCGTTAAACGAGAGTGGCCAGGGGTGGTTGCTTGATCGTGAATTATCGCTTGGTGGTCTAAGCAAATATTAAACTAGGAATGCCATAAATTGCACTGTCATTTGACATACACATTAACATTACATTTACATTGTATTATAAAATTAATTTATGTAAGCTTGCAAATACAACCATGCTAACGAAGCAACCTGTTTCCTATTGCATAACAAACGTACATATATTATTTTCTCTGAATTATTTAGTTATCTGTCAGCAGAAATGTATAATCACTAATTACCTTTTGTGTTTTATCACATCTTTTCACTTGCAGTGTTAAATGTTGGCGTATGTGAATACCCTTATTGTTTATGCGGTTGGCTGTGGTGAACGAAGTGCAACAGCAGAAACATATATATAATTATATATATATATATATAGATATGTATATGAAGAAATTAAATTAAATATATGCATATAAAATTTTTACACATATCATTACAAGCATATTTGCTCTAGTGTGCGCGTGTGTGTGTATTGGTGATAAATGAATGAAGCAATAAATTTAAAAGTTCAATTGATTTCACATTCAGCAACTGAAGCTGCTGTCACCATTTAGCCACGCTGTCAAGCTGTCAACATTGTCAAGTATCAAGTGACCACACACATACATATGAAAGCGATGTATTTATTTGAGTGTTTGTGTACAAAAGTTCGTGAAATGTCAAAGTGCCATTGACAGAGTTCAATTATTAAGTGAATTAATGATGAAATAAGCAGTAAGTGAAGAAAAAAATTAAAATGTTATATTGTAAAAAAGGAATAAAAAATGTTTAAAATTAAAAATAAATTGTTGATGAAAATTAATTAAATTTTTAAAAAGAGTATTTAAAAAAATAATCTTATAAAAGTTTCAAAAAAAGTAAAATAAATGAATTAGTTTGTGTATGAAATAATTTATGAATTACAAATTACCAATTTCAATATTAAATTAAAAATATATAAATAAAAACAAAATAAAATAATTAAAATTCTCAGCATAAAAAAAAATAAATCTTGCGAATTAATAATTAAACAAATACAACTTTTTTCATTACATTAAATTAACTTATTTTGTTTTTGTAATTTCCCTTTAAAAATTATTAAAGAATAGAAAGTAATTGACTAAGTGAATTTTAGGTAGAAAATATATTTTATACGAAATTCTGAAAAAAACGTTGAAAAGACATTAAAGACCTTTTCGGCAGAAATGAAAAAAAAAAATATGAATCAAAACTTTGACAGAAATTTGCAAAATTAAAAACAGTCAAAAAAATTAAATTAAAGTAAAAAAGGTAATAAAATAAAATTAAAAATAAAATTTTTTATTTAACTTAAATTATTAAATTCAATTCTTTATTTAATTTATTGTATAAAAGTTACTAAATAATTTAAAAAAATATAAAAAAATTGCCAATATATGCTTTTACGAATCTGGGAATCCTAAACAAAAAAATATACAAATTTTTGGCAAAAGGAATAAAAAACCAAAGCTATTTTTTAACTCGATTTTATGTAGCAAATCTTAGTTTAAATTTTACTTGAACTTAAATAATAAATTAAAACTTGTTCCGTTATATTTATGTATTAAAATTTGACATAAGTAAAGCGAAAAAAATTGTAGTAAAAATTGATAATATGCAATATTTAAACAACAAAAGATAAACAAAATTATTATATAAATGACAAATGTTTTAAAAAATGAATTAACATATTTATTTCATACAGAACAAATTTCCAAAATACTAATTTGAACAGCAAAAAAGAGAGTAAAAAATTTATTACAATTAAATTAATAATAAAAAAAACCTAAAAAAATTTTAAACAGAAAAAGATTAAAGTTTCCTTGCTTTAAGAAATTCAAAATCAATACTAATAAAATTTATTATTCTAATCAGTTTCAGCAGAATAATCTTGCATTGAAAAAATTATGATGAAATATAAATGAATAAAATTTATATGATTTAAAAAAAAAAAAAATTTGGAAAATAATGTGGAAAATAAATAATTTTTTGGTCTTTAAAAATTTCAAAGATAGTTTATAATCAAAATTAATAATTCAGCATTACTTTGGAAAGAATTTAAATTATAACAATTTAATAAATACAGGAGCATAATTTTTTTGGACAAAAATTAATTTATAAATATAATTGCAAAAAAAATAAATAAATAAAAATAAACTGAACTTTACTTGTAACCAAAAGTGAGTTATTTTAAAGGAATCATATCTCCAAAAAAAAAAAAATTTACACCGAAAAAAATTTTATCGGAAATCGATAATAATTTTCATGCAAAAATTAAAAACATAAAATTTTCAAACCTTTCTTTTAAGCCCAAGTGGAGCATAAAATAAACAAAAATTATTTTAAACGATTTAAAAAAAAATCTTTTATTTTTTTTCAAAAGCTAGATACACAGAAAATAAATTTCTTTGAAATTTGTTTAAAAAATATATAAAATTATTTTCATTGAAAATATTTGTAATAAATATTTTTGATATATATATTTAAATAACGGAGTTGAAAAATTATAAGTGGATTTGTTAAAATCGCTCGAACGCGCAGTGAAAGTACCAGTGTTCCTTTATTCTCAATTACCCATTGCTAAAAATTTACAAATATTTTAATGTGCGCAATTTCGAAAATGCTGTGTTTGCTCTATACTGAAATCTACAAACCAACAATCAGCATTTTATTGCTAATGTTGTTAATTTCATTAAATTCGCGTTGTGCCGATTCGAGCTGAATCGTTTACGAAGTTCCTTTGACGCTTGAAACGAATTTAAAACGAAATTTAACGAATTTATTTAGCGGAAGAAAACAAACGAGATTAAGTAATAATAAATTATATACACTTTTCAACATAAAAAAAGACGCGAACGGAGCTGTTTATAGTATGAGAAGGTGAGTGCATTTTTCACTTAATTTTAATATTAATAAATTTCTTTAATTAATTTTTAAAACTGAAATTTTTTATTTTTGTTTTTTAATCTCAAAAGATTTTTTAAATTAATTTTGATAATGTTTGTTTTTTAATTTTATCTTTTAGCTTTTAAATTAATTTAATTTTTATTTTTATTTATTTTTCATTATACTTTTTTTGTCTTTTGTATGTATTGTTAAGAAAAATCTTTGCTTAATTTTTTCTGTACATGTAACATATGCAACTAGTGAGTTTTAACCGGAACTCTTTCAATATACTCGTATCCCCCAACTACGAGTATATGGCCACTAGGCCAACGAACCTCACCGTAAAAACATTGCGTTGAATTAATTTTCGCCTTCTTTTTTTTTTTTGTTTTGTAATAAATTCGGTGCCAGCTAGCAATAATTTTTCCATTTATTAAATATGAAGCGAACAAAAACCAAAAAAAGAAAACCAACACAAGAAATATGTTGGCTGCAAATGGACTTGACACGCGACAAAAATCAGGAAAAAACCTGAAATGACAAATAAATTAACATAAATTAATTGATACTAAAAGGTAGAGAAATAATATGCATATTATTTTCCTTAAACACAGTAACATATACATACACATAATTATACATATTTATTGGCTCATATGCGTAGAGAAAACAAAAAATAGTAAATATGAAGAAAAGGCAATCGAAAAAGAGGTGATAAAATATAATACGGCGAAGCATTATACTCAGCGCTTTTTTATAAACATACATACATATATTGATACATAAGCTATGTATGTGTATGTAAATGAGTATGCATAGATATTGTATTTGAAGTTGTCTACTAGATCTTCGTAGAAATAAATTCAGCTTTAATTTTTTATTATGTCGTACATAATACGTATGTAAATATGTATGTTAATCTCTACGACTGTGTTAAGTCGTGTCAATATTTTTTTTTTCATATTTTTATTTTTTTTAAATTTTTTTATGTTCGAGGTGTGAAATTGATAGCTGAAAAAATAAAGATAAATGTATTCCGCATAGCTGTATATATGCTTAAAACCTATCAAATACATACGATCAAATATACATACATATATACTGTTCTGCTTAAATTACGGAATATGAAGGTCTACCACTTTCAGTTAAAATATTAAGAGAGACAAAAAAATATTATTTTTAATACATTTTTATGTACATACATGCTAAAAGTTTTTCTTACATATATTTTAACTGTATATTTAACAGTTATTTGAAAGAGAATTTATTAATATTTGAGTATAGAACTAGAAAATTTAGATTTCTATACATAACTTTTGACGGATAACAAAAAATGTTGATCATACGACATGGCGCACCGAATTTGAAGGAGCGGGGGGAAGCGAAAATAATATGTATGCTTAAAAGTAGATATATACAAATTGTTTCGACGTTTTGTTTTTTTTAAAGCTTCATATAAATTTAAAAAAAAAAATTACAATACGTTTAGTTACCAGAACTATAAAAAAATATTTTGATTATACAACGCCTAGAAATCGTTGCATTATCACTTCAAATTTTTAGTATTTCTACAATTATTCGTAATTAGAAAATTATGTTGGGGCAGGGGACGATACGGGCACATTTGATATAACTTAGGCACATATTTATGAACCCCTCAAAACCGTTCTTTTTTTCAGTCAGTTAGGTTACAATTTAAATTTGCTCTATTCTGAGCTGGGTCTAGTTATAGATAATGTTTCGAGGCCACTTTTGATTCATTTCCTAATTCCCGCCCATTTATATATTTAGCAATTGATTTATGATCCTTTCCGAATTGTGTGGACTGGTTTAAGATAATTCAAGCATCACTCAATTGGAAATTGATTTATTAGTCCATCAGGATAATTTTGGTATCATTTCGAAACTATTTTATAATCATTTCAAAATAAATTAGATCATTATGGTTATATAAGAATCACTTTTAGTACTATGCGGTTATTAGTTAAGGGTAATTTAGGTGTCAATTAGGAATTTATTTACGGTCCATTCAGTCTCACTCTAAATCGAAGTTTTCACCTTTTTTATTTTTCTGGATATCACTTTTCGAATTATTTGTATCAAATTGAAACTTATTTAGGATTGTCTGAGGATTACTTTGGCACACTGTTGAAACTAGTTTCGTCCCATTTGAGAGGCTTTAGGAATCACGTCGGTACCAGTTCCGGATTATTTCAGTTTTATTAGTGTACAAATTTGGAGCTCATTTGGCTTTGAATTAAGAATAATGTATTTTTTTCTTGGGCAAGCTGCAAATTTGTGGTTGTGACACCAACTTGGCATCAATTTAAAACATATTTATGATCCTCAGGTTAAGACTCTTTCTGAGCCAATTCGATATCAGTTAGAAACCGATGAATGTTCATCATATAACCACTTTTGGGACCATTAACGAATACTTTGTACAATGTTAGGTCTAGTTTAGAATATCTATAATAATTCGGACTAAGTCCGGAACACTTACTCAGGTATACATTGGTATTATAACGATACCGCATTCAGGTCATTTTGATATCAATTGAGGAATAATTTAAGACTACTTTAGGATATAGTTTCGGATCAATTTCATATCAACAAATACTATTGCCATACCTTTTTGTAGCCATTTACGGATTGTTTAATTAATGATGTAATAAGATTTCATCACAGAGCCATTAAACATTATATCAAAACTAATTTTCGGCTATACCGTAGCTATTTACTTAAAGAAAAAACTAAACACTTTTGTCACACAGAGAAAAGCTGCCCTCCCCTGCGTACCAAAGATTTCTAAGCCAAACCAAAAGACGCCTTTCCCATATTTCATTAAGTTCTTGACATTCAGTTGTT